TGAGCTGTGTGGCTTTCAGTTGTTTCTTTTGTATCATACCAAATTAGGTCTTTGGCTTGCACTTTGGAGTCATGATTAAAGAGTAATGTTGTATTCGATTTCAATATCAATAAATAAAACATAAATTTTATATTTATCATTTCATGGTAGTCTTTCTAGATCTAAATTTCGTCTGCAGTATATATTTTCTCCAATTTCGTGAATTTCAATCTTTTCTTTACCTAGTACAAAGTAAAGATTCGATAAAATTGGAACGATAAGAATGACACGCATAACTCGAGAAATGGTCCTTTGGTTTGCTCAAGGTTCTTGAGAAGTACCATTTGAGGCAACCATGATGCCTACAAGTAAAACTATCTGTCACTGCTTGCAAAGAGCAACAATAGAGAAAAGCAATAATTATATTCATAAATTAGGCACAAAGACCATAAGTCACAAGAGCCAATAAAAATACCCGCAAAAAGTTAATACAAAGATGGAAGCATAGTAACCGCACATGCACATATCCATGAATAAAAAATGACTAGGGGTAAATTTTATGCATAATTTTCCAATCGGAAAATTTTTATTGAAAATTCGACAAAATCTACTTTTTATTTATGATATTTTGACTAGGGCTAACTGTCAGACTATTTGCAAGTTACAACAATTTTAATAGATTCCAACCCACAGACAACAATCGGCATACACACACATCACTATTCATCAATGAAAGAAAATGGGATATAGGCAATCATAGGAGCATATGAGTACCCAAATGAAAGCTACTCAAACACTGATACTTTATTTTTTTAGAGTACAAGCAACAATCTAAACTAAAGGGGAGGGGGTTTCTCACACGTACACATACAACCATAATGTCATGGGGGTTCAAAACCTAAGACCTCTGATCTGCAAATCAAGGTCATTATCCACTAGACTAGACCCCATTGACAAACATTGATACTCTTGGAATCCAAATAAGGGGTCGAAGCTCTAAATGAAAAACCTAATGCCCAAGACCCAATATAATCCAATAGAGGCTTCAAAGAGTCTAGATCAAAATGACCTGGATGAAAAAATAGAGCCCACTTGTGCCTCCTTATAAAGGATATGGATAATGCAAATTAGGGTTATCAAATGGTCCTCAAACTTATACCCGAGTTGCATTTTGTCCCTAAACTAAATTATCCGTTCAAATAGTCCACCAACTCTTTATTAATCAGGACTTTGGTCCTACCATTACATTCTGTCAATATTGCTGTCAAATATAGGGGTAAAATAGTCCTAAATCGGGGCTTTCGCCCCATCTTCTCCTCCCCACAACCCACCATCTCTCCCCCTCCCTCTATGTCCCCTCCTCCTCCTTTGCAACATCATCATTAGGGCGCGACGGTACCCTTCTACTACGAGTCGGCTCCGATGGTCTTACTTTTCATTCCGATGTAGTGGCGAGCATGGTCTTAAATATCGGAGGTATCGGAAGTATCGGAAGTCAAAAAACACGGAAATATCGCAGGAAATATCGGGATATTATCGGTATTGGAAAAAATTGAATAAAAACCACGGAAATTGTAAGAAAAACTTGGAAATTTTTATTGAAACTTTGTAGGATGTTAATTTAGTCAATTATCTATTAGTTTATCACAAAAAATTGGAAGGAAATGCATTGCATGATGGATTTAATTGATTTAAGTTGATTATATAGCGAGCTAGCAAACACCGTAAGTGTATAAATATGTAGTAATTAATGAAAGAAGATTAAACACACCATAATCATTTATATATAATGAATTACTACAATATTTTACACTTTATACATTGCATGGTAAGATACATGAGTGACTTAGTACCACATAGAGTTCCTATGAGGTTCAAAATTTTCACTATCTTCATCATCTCTATGTGTAGAGTAAGTATATTTTGAAGAGTAGTCATCAAATGATAAATCCCCAAAATAGTTTTCCATGTAATTGTTAACATGCCACCCATATGGATCCGAGATTGGTTGACGTTGTCCATAAGCAAAATCATTTGAAGATTGAGTCTCGGATTCTTTCCATGTGTCACTTGATTCCATCCCAACAGGAATGGGATATGAAGGGTAGGGAAATGGTTGGTTATGAGTATAACCATAGTTACTACTTCCTACTCCAACAGAGTCCGAAGTTATAGATAACGAGTCATCTTCTTGACTTGACAATGTCCCCTCGCCTCTTTCTCTACGAGTATAGTTCTTCCCTATGGCACCAATTCCTGGTCCTGCCTGCCTACTGCCATGGTAGGGTAAGTAAAAGCAGGTGAGTGGTTGAATGGTAGGGTAAGTAATGTAAGTTGAAAAAACGTTGGTGAGTTTTATATTTTATCCATTTTGTAAACCAAGCCAGGAATCCAAAGCTAAGTTTTATATTTTATCCATTTTGTAAAAGCATGTGAGCATTCTGTCGGCTAGACATGCTTTGTTTATTAGCTCAATGAGCTACTTTTGTATTACTCTAGGAGACATGCTTTCCGTAGAGTACCCAAATCAGTTCAATGAGCTACTTCAGTTCTCTACATTTTTTGAGTTTCATATCGGGATATTATCGGGATATTATCGGGATATTATCGATAATATCTAGATATATTGACCAAATCATTCATAAAAGTGTTGAAAATATCTTTCCGATAATATCGGGATAATATCGATATATTGACGATAACTATATGGTTAGTTGTTAAAATATCGGACCCCCAAAAATCAGATATTATCGGGATAATATCGGGGATATCATCGATATTTAAGACCATGGTGGCGAGCATCAGATTAAATTCCATTTGTGGCATAGTCACGGGGGTTGGGTCGTGGGTAAGGCTTGGAGGTGGGTTGCGGCTAGGGGTGGGGGTGGGGTCTGGGTTGCGATTGAGGTTGGGGTGGTTTGGGTTGTTGGGGAGAAGAAAATACAGAGAGAGACTTAGGGCATGTTTACGTATCAGTAATGGGTATGGGAGGAAAGGGAATGATTTTCATTCCTGACTTCCCTTGCGTTTACTTGCAATCAGGAATGAAAAAATAAGTGGGCCCCACCTCAAAATCCGTAATCACATCCCCTCAAAATTGGGTATCAGATCACCTAGGGGGGAGTAGTCGATACGATTCTCATTCCTGTTTTCTCTTAATAACTTCCAAAAATACCTTTACTACTTTACCATAATTCCAAAACACCCCAAACCCTAAAAAAAAATATATATATATATATATATAAAAAGAAAAAACTCACGCCAAGAAGTTTCAAGACGCTCCAACTTCTTTTTCACGTTATCGTTGCAGACACAACCTCCCATAAGCAGCAGCAACGCCTTGTGCTATGTAAATCATTCTATCTATCTATCTTCTTCTTCTATCTTCTGTCTTCACATTCATCACAAAACATAGTACGGTCATATATAAAGACTTTTGTGGAGATTATATATCTCTTTTTTTGGTAGTATGAAGATTATGCATGTCATTATTATTTGATTGTTTACTAGTTACGTAGGTGAAAGATATATATTTATTGGAGTTTATTTTTTCGTCTTTTTCGTTTGAAATTGGCTCTTGACAAAGGTGTTATTAACATTATCATTGTTATTAAACAATAACAATGGGAATCAACTCCATTCCTTTGCTAATTCCATATGTTTAGTAAACAGCTTAATGGGAATGATTCTTCCCATACCGATTCAGTAGTTCCCCGATTCCTAAATTCTCTGATTCCTTACTTTCTCCATTACTGATACGTAAACATGCCCTTAGATTGTTTTGATTCAGTAAGGAACAATAGTTTCAAAACAGTGCACCCCATTAAGTCAGGGGCAAACCTTGGCAACAATGGCAACAACATCCCATTGCAGACCCACGATGAGATGGGGAATAGGATTGGAGTGGGAGAGGATGAGATGGGGGTGGGGTTGGGTGGGTGGAATTTGTTTTTTGGGGTTACTTTTTGTTGTTTTATTAATTTTAAAAATAAAGAAAATTTGTATTAATTTTTAATTTTTTAGTCGTCAAAAGTATTATTTAAAGTGTAAATTTACAAGAGTTGGTAGACCATGACTAAATTTAAAAGAAAATGTAACGGTAGGACCAATACGCCCATCAATAAAGAGTTGGTAGACCATTTGAACGAATAATTTAGTTGAGGGGCCAAAATGCAACTCGGGTATAAGTTTGAGGACCATTTAAGTAAATAACCCTACAAATTATGGACACAAAAATTCAATAAAATAATAAACAAAAGGCTAGTTGGAGTACATGGGCTACCTTTTTTTTTTCCCTTCTTTTAAGGGTCTGAAATCCGTTGGGTTATTTAGGTATTAAAAAATTTTCAAAATTTGGGTTTGGCCATGGCCCTAGTTAGCAGGCCTCTATATATGTGCCTAGCACAAGATTAATCCATATACATAGAAACATACTGGCAACAACAAGCGTACGAAGCGTATCTCCACCAATAGCCTTATAAGGCCAAAGAAATTTCGGCATAAAAGCGGCAAGTTTGAACATGCCAGACATGAACCGCAGTCCCTAAAACTATAAATACAACTACAACTTTTAAACTCTCACAAGTAGAAACTACAAGTATAGACTAGAGTCACTATACTACAAACAAACACCCAACTCATAAAGAGGATGCAAACAACCCCAGGAGAGAAGTGAGGAACGGGGAGGAGGGGAGGGGAGAAAGGGGAGGGGTGTAGGGGAGGGGAAGGGTTAGGGTGGAGAAGGAGTGGAGGGGGAGGGAAGGGTGGGGAAGGAAAATCATTTGAGTTTCTTGATAGTTAATTGTTTTGTTTCTTTTTTTATTTCAAACCAAAGCTGTCTTTGTGTTAAGCTATGATGAGTGTGTATTTCATTGAATTCAATCTTTATAACTAAAAGAAAATCATTTGACAATATTGGCACATCTTTATAACCCTTTCCCCCTAAGTCCACTATTAATGTCACACGTGTAATGCAAATGACAACGTGGCCAACTTTGATCACAGTGACTTTTGAGCGACTGTGTGAATAGCAGCAAGCATCCCTACTCCTTATCCACTACACGGACCCTTCACTTTCTCTCCTCCCCCTCCCCTACTCTTTTCTCTATCCTCCACCCAAACACTCTTCTATGGCCTCTACTTCACCCTTCGCCCCCGCATTGCCCCCAAATTACCATCTTACTACTCATCCTACACCTGCTGCATCCCGCCCTCTACTAACCCCCCAGAAACAGATACTGCCGCACAATTCTTACCACGGTGTTAATGCACGAAATTACCACTCTGTGCCTCGTCGGAGAATGACGACGAGGTGCCAAGCGATGGAGGTGTCGGTGGCAGACGGGTCGTCATCGGCGTCTGGCGGCGGCGGCGAGGAGAACTGGGTGCCGGTAGTGCCGCTGGCCGCGCTGCCAAGGGGGGAGCGGCGCGTCATAATTCAAGATGGGGAAGCCATACTCTTGCTGTGGTATAAAGATCAGGTCTTTGCTATTGAGAATCGCTCCCCTGCTGAAGGGGCTTATAGCGAAGGCCTTCTCAACGCCAAGCTCACCCAGGCAAGCCAATTAATTAATTACTTTTCATTCAGTTAATTAATTTGTTCCTAATCCTAATTGTTAGTAACTTATTGATACTGGTTGCATTGCAGGATGGGTGTATAGTTTGCCCATCAACTGATAGCACATTTGATCTGCGCAACGGATCCATTAAGGAGTGGTATCCCAAAAACCCAGTGCTCCGAGTCCTCACACCCGCTTTGAGGACGCTTTACGTCTACCCTGTCAAAACTGATGATCAAAACATTTACATCAGCCTCGGTACTGCTTCACTCCAATCTGATGCAGCTGCAGAAATTGTCTTCAGTGGCAAGGCTCAACCGGGTTTTACAGCTACTGATGTCAATGTGGATGAGGTATTTTTCTTTTTCTTTTCTTGTTCTTTAAGAAACTAAACATTGAAAAAATGTACTTGGCTTGCCTTGGTGCATGTCTCAAACTGTGATTTGCTAACGATGATTTGTTCGATTCATGGTGACGTGCTAAATTGTTAATTCAGGTGAAAATGGTGGTTGATGAGGGTCTAGATGTGGCGTTCGGTTTCACGAAGAGGAACGAAATCATAAATGGGAAGGCAGCTGTGATTGGGTTCCTATTGTTGTTAGATTTTGAACTCTTGACTGGTAAAGGTCTTCTCAAGGGAACTGGCTTCTTGGACTTTATTTACTCTGTTTCAAATGCTTTGCAGTAGACATTGGAAATGTTTCTCCGAAATGAACCAAAAGTTATATGCAATACTCAACCCAAGCAAGCAAAAGTGGGTGTTTTTATGAGTCATAATATATAATTAATTTGATGTTAAAGCTCCTTTCATTTGTAATTTTGGATATCTATATAAGCGTATGTGTTTGTAAATCTTCTGAGAAGTAGACCATTTTAGATCATTCTTTAGGTTTTGCACTTTCTCTGTCTAAACCACCTGTAATATATAATCGAATTTTCATGCAAAGCATATCCTTTGAAATTGAATCATGAAAGACATATGTGGTACCTATGAAGAGCCTGCTCAAGCTGCTGAATTTGAATCCATTGTTCTGTAACAATGTCAGCCATCTTAAAGCAAAGAGCAAGAAGCCAATGGCAAAATGAACACCACACACTCATAGCTATAGACCATAGATGGATTGAGTACATCAGTGCATGACCTTTTGAGCCTAAGAGGCAACCGTTTCGAGTCTATCCTCAGCATCTTGTGCTTTAGACTCTAAAACATGAAGATCGAAGTTGTACTTTCTTGATGCAGCCCACAGAAGCTGTACCTAAAAAGCATTGCAAAGCCTATTTCTCAAATCCAACAAACTCTTTCTGCTACTTTTTCATTGAATTGAAAATTGCAAAAAATAAATTGAAAAAGATATGAACCCCTTCTCCTAGAGCATTAAGCCTCTCACCAGTAGCCAATGAGTCTCTCTGTGACATACAAATGCAACCAAATATTCTATATTTGCTTTCAATTTAGCATATACCTGAAAGCTGAAGACTTGAAGCTGAAACGGGAAACAAACCTTAAGAGTGAACAAAACGGACTGCAAATGATGGATCTTCTGCAAATGATGAATCTGGGTTTAACAGAAGTATGGAACTCAAGGAATGTGAGATGTTGTGCATGAAGAACTGCTCCTGCACAGCTTTTGCAAACTTTGATACCAGGGATGGAGGAAGTGGGTGCCTGCTGTGGTTTAGTGAGCTGATTGATGTAAGAAATTTCACTGAAAATGGGCAAGATATTTATTTTAGAATGGCAGAATCAGAACTAGGTATGGAGGCACTTTTAATCTCAAAAGTCATTTTGTTAATGCAAATTTTAAAGAAAACAAGAGAAAAAAAGAAACATCTTTGGATATGGAACAGTCAATTGGGAGTTATCCATCTCTTCATGATCATGTACAAAAAGTAAAGTCAAAACATATCAAACCCAAAGGTTGTTACTCTATAATTTTGGATTTGGACACAATTATCAAACTCTTCTTTCAAAATTCGTCTGTTATGATCAATGGATGATAGACATTACAGAAGGTTTTTTTTCTTTATCAATATCCAACTTCTCACTTTTTTATGCTTTCAACTATAGACAACAATCAGTGCTAAACCTGCTAAAACCCAATTTCCGCCCCTGGGGTTAGGCCACTTGGGTTTATATTTTATAGTCTCAATGAATGTGAAGAAAGTAAGAATTATATTAGGCAGTATTGTGTCATCTCCTGGGCTCCTCCTGGGTGTAGCTCTGTTTTTCTAATGTTTGGAAGAAGCAGCACCAAATAGATGTTAAGTTGTTTTCTAGTCATCTACCCCTTCAGTTTCCAATAGGATATAGAGAGCAACTTGGTTATTTGAAAATTTAACTACAATGGCCTATTGCTATATAGATGACATGATGTTAGAATTGAAAAAAATGAAACTGTGTCAAATTATAGGATAGCACCTCCCAATTGGAGATGCTCTTATTGGTACTTCTCTTGGGCATTTGTCTATTAAAGTCAAATGTGGGGTTCATCACTTCTACTCGTTTTTTTCCCCCATTTGTCAACTCACTTAAGTATTAACTTGAGGGAGAAAAAAAACTGAAAGAGAGAAAAAAATAGGAAGAATTAAAACAAGTATACAATTCAGAAAATTGCAGCTTCCTTTGAGTTGATTTGGTATTTGATTCTGGAAGACTGACCAAGTGAGTGGATGACCACAAATGATTTAGATTTTCTACTAGAGAAACACTCCTAATTGTCAATTGTCAGGCGAGACACCATCGTTCTTGAACTAAATTTGGAGTAAGCCCACTTTTGATTGAAGAGAATTTTCTCCATTTCACACTGGAGAGAGTGATGTTTATTTGCATTCAATTACGCATCTAAATTTGGTATGACGTGCATTGATATTGTCGATAATGCATCAGTAACGTGTTTACATCGATAATTGATATTGTGCCAATACGAATTCTACTCCAAGCTACAGTGAAAGGGGATCCCTTATGAGAAATTCATCCTATTTATCTGTCCTTGGAACTTTAGTAATTTGCCTCCCCACTATTCAACTTTAGTATTGATAGCTTACTAATTGTCTTCCCAGCTACTTTCTACTTTCTAATCAAGTATTGCCAATGCTGCTAACTGTGAGATTTTTTAAGGTGAGAGACAGTTACAGACAAAGCTTTACCAAATTAATACAATTATCTTCTAATTAGAGTCAGACTCTCCATATATAGTGCAGATTAAAAGAAACACACCCCTCACTGGTTCATCAGGTGTACTCAAGGTGAGCAGCCCTGGAATTCTTGTCCTTGTCGACCATAAGAACACTACAGTTTGGTCTTCCAACACATCAAGTTCTGCACAGAATCCAGTGGCACAGCTTTTGGATTCCAGAAATCTTGTTGTGATAGATGGCAATGGTCATAATGACCCTGATAATATTTTATGGCAGAGTTTTGATTACCCAGGTGATACAATAATACCAGCTATGACGCTTGTTGGGAACAAAATCACAGGTTTTCATTGGCATCTTACACCCTGGAAAAGCCCCCAGGATCCTTCTCAAGGACATTATGCATATCAACTTGGATACCATGAATTAATTCTGAGGGAGGGTTCTGTTATAAAATATCGGACTGCACCATGGAATGGAATCCAATTTAGTGGGATGCATAATATAAATCCAACATATGATTTTGTGTTGGATAATGATGATGAAGTATATTAAGGTTATAAGCTTCTCAACAGCTCAACTCTTTTCAGGCTGGCTTTGACTCAAGATGGATTTGGGCTGAGCTACATCGGGAGTGATGGAAACCAAGGTTGGGTTGTTTATCTAATAGCACCGACTAATATCTGTGACAAATATGGAATATGTGGTCCAAATGGTGCATGTAGTATTGACAAGTCCCCAGTATGTAGCTGCTTGAAAGGATTTATACTGAACTTTCAATAAGACTGGGACTTGGTGGATTGGTCATATAGCTGTGTGAGAAAGACCCAACTGAATTGCAGTGGAGACATCTCTAAGAAGTACTCTGGGCACATTTCGACCATCGCAATAGAAAATTATATGCTTCATGTACCCAGGAAAAAAGAAAAAAAGATATGTGTTAATCAAACAAACTAATTCTGATGAAGTTGAACTACTTGGGCAAATCAATTGAACAAAGAAAACGATTTTACTTCTTGAAGGGGAATATGTAATTGCAGCTTCTTTGGAGCAAAGGACAATAGCAGACATGATAAACCGATTAATTAAAAACTGTCACTATTTCCAAGTAAATTGAAAAACAAATCCATCACTCTAACTCGTTGATACCCATAGCTTGTCACTATCATCAGTGTATATTTCAACATACATTCAAATATACATAACCTGTATTTTCTGCTCACTAGTGCCTGACAAGCTCAAGGATATGCTGATATCTATAACTTGCATTGGGCAGATAAACAATTTCTCATTAAGTTATAACTTATAATTAAAGGAGTTTTATCAAACTCACTTAACACAACAAATTGACACACATTATTGAAATGATTAAACATTTCAATGAGGAAAAAGAAAAAGAAAAGAAAACTCAAGGAGTACCTTTTCTGAATATTGTCAGATGATGAAACACAAACTTGCCGAGCAAACATATTGATAATTTCATCCACCTCCTGTCTTGATACTCCATTTATGTCTCGAATCTGCAGATTATATACAAAAAGGTAACAGTAATTTAATGTTTAAAAAAGTTTGTGAAGTGATCCAATAGGAAATGTTGTTTGAATCCAATTTTCCCTTATTTAGTAGTAAGGATTTTTCCTCGGTGGCTCTTTCAAGAGCAGGTGTGACAGAAATGAGAAAAGAACCAAGCAAACTCTGGGAGGAGTTGTCATCCCTTCTTCTATGGACCTGACTTGTGCTTCACTGCTTCGGCTTCCCAGTCTCAAGCTCCAATTTGCAGCTAAATTTTTTCAATTTCGGGTTTCAAACTTTCAGTCAACCGGCTAGGCGGGCGCTAGGCTGCTAGGCGGTCGCTAGGCGGTTTCTAGGCGGGCGCTAGGCGGCTAGGCGGTTTCTAGGCGGGCTCTAGGCGGCTAGGCGGTAGCTAGGTGGGAGCTAGGCGGCTAGGCGGGTTGGGTCTTTTTCGGTGCCGAACCCAGAGGACGAAGCAGTGACTGCGAGTGCAGGCTTCCTGTTCGTTCGAATATATTTAAAGAGTATAGCCGTTCGGCTATACTTTTAAAATATTTGAATGTATTTACAAAGTATAGCCGACCGGCTATACGTTTAAAATATTTGAACATATTAGCGGCTATACTCTTTAAATATACAATTTTGTCATTTTATTTTAGGGTGTAGGGCTAAAATACAAAAAACATGAAAAGAAAGTTCCAACTGCACATCATATCTCATTGAAAAATCTACAAATTACTGTCCAACTTCTTAAATTACCATGACAAGAAGATGAACTAAGTATGCACAATGCTGGAGGATGGTGATAGCTCCCTTTAGAAGGTTTAAGGTAGTTCTTTGTTAATAAGTTATAAAAATATGGAATGCGAAGTTTTTCACCATATAAAATCAGATTCACCTCGATACAGTCATATCGATGGATAATGCCAAGTATATTAAGCAGCTGCCTTTTGTACTCGTGTATTCGCTTTGTGTGCACATCAAACATTGCATCTAAACTAACCTGCAGTTGAAAGTGATAAATTTCAGTGTAATCTATTAGACATACCTTCAAGACAAAAGAGAAAAGATGAACAGGATAGAAGTTCTAAGAACTTGTGACCAAACCTTCACACCACTCATTGCTTCAATGTACTCAGCGAGCCTCATTTTGTTAACCTTCTTAACCTACAACATGAGCATATATACAACAGATTTAAATAATAATAATACAAAAGAAGAGCCAAAAGCTTAATATATTTTTGGTTCCTAAGCAGATATCAAGCCTAGAGAGTACCATCATCCATTCTTGTTGAAGGTCAGGATCTGCTGCATATGCTCGCAAGCCAGTTGCAAGCAATGTCCCACGCTTTATTCCAACCCAAATGCTCTTCATCAACAAGCACTCTCATGACCTCAGCTATTTTTTAGAGATGGGTGAGTATCACTGAGCTGCAGAGCACCCTAATTAAGACAAGGAAAAATGAGCCGAGGAAAAAAGGAAAAACAGAAAAGCAAACCTGAATGACTATCAGAGGAAAGTAATGAATATAAGTTCATTGTAGCTAAACAAGCTACCAGATTGGGTATTCCCTAGAAATCAACATATGATAAAACACATACTATTACACCTTCTCTGAAAATTCATCAAAGTTACTGTGAGCCTCTTTACATGTTTATACATGTTCTGTGCTCCGTAGATGTATTCTGTAACCTCTGTTTATTGTAAAGTTGGAATGCTTTCTTTAGTCTTGCAACCTAACTCTCCAGTATTTGTGCAACAAAACTTGGCATTGATTTTGTTTTTCTTTCAAGTTTTTATCTATTTACTTACAGTTTATTTATTTCAAGGGATTATAAAGTATTTCCAACTGGACTTTGTATCGATGAACTCAAGTTTAGCTCAAGTGGCTAAGAAGTAGGAAGTTTATGTACTTAGTCATGAGTTTTTCTTTTATAATATTTTTGAATTTGAATTTGAAATATAAAATTTAATTTCAGTTCAAGCACTAGGTTTTCTCTCAAATTATTCCACATTGTACTTATCAATTGTTGGTTTTTTGTTAGTTCTTCTTGCCCTTCTCTGTTACCTACCCTACTTAGATATACAATTAATAGTTCGTTTGTCTGGCTTTTATGTATTGGTAGATGGGGAAACAATTGTACTTTTCCAGATCTAGTCCAAACTTTATTTTGGAATGGATCTTGGTTTTTGCTTCATCAAGTCCTAAATTGGCTCTGGTTTTCGGTTATTAATGGATGGTTGTGGTTTTTTGGCTTACTAGTCTTTTATGTAATCTGTTTTATCTTAGGCATACTTGCTTTTGTGTTAGTCTTTCTCCTCATGATTTCGAGCAAAGGGTCTGTAATCTAGAGATGGTTTCTTGCATGCTCTTCTCACTGATTAATCTTTCTTTTGGATGGAATTTCTGGCTGCTTTCCTTTGTTCTGACATCTGACACCTTTTATTTCTTGGATTTGGTCTGTTGATTGATTTATACTTTCCTTTGTGTCTATTTGCAATGGTAAAATCAGGTATGTTCCTCTGTCTTTATTTTCGTATCTCATTCGGTTTTTTATATATAAATATATTCTCAATGTTGGACCACCATGTTATTACCATAAATATAAATCCTTGTGCTTTGTTCTTCTGATCTGGTTATGTACCACTTTGGTATATTTTGATACTTGATGGGTTTTTTACTGTCAAACTAATCACGGTAATGTTGATTCTCTGTGTGTTGTTTGGTTTTAATCTACTGGATTCTTTTTTCTAATATTCTCACTAGTTCTTAAGGGTAATAAAACTACTTTTATCTTTTCACTTTCTTTTGTTAGGCGTAGAACTCTTTTGCTTTTCATTTATCTATCTTATCTAAATATGTTCATATGTTATATCTGTCTCTATGTCTGCGTTGTTTGCTGTTAAGTTCCATCTTCCTATCACTGTTGAACACTACTTGAATGCTCTTTTTATGGTTTTTGTTGATTATCCACCTATGTCCAATCTTGATACTGCTGGTGCAGTAATGGTATTTTCCATGAAAACTGAATTCCAGTCAACTTAATAATCTCTCACGGGTCATCTGGAACTATTGACAATCATTCACCTCGTATCATGGAACATTTTAATAATAATGATCCTGATCAGTTTCAAAGCCCTGCTGGGCACCATCTTTCTACTTGTGGAATTGTAGAGGTTGCTCTCGGCCATGTTTGTTTTTTAAGTTTGTTAAAAGTCTAAAAACTTCCCATAGTCTTTTGTGTTCTGTGGAAACTCATTCTGTTTCCTCTACTTTTGAAAGGAAGCTCACTTTATGAGAGATGTGATCGGTAAATACGGTGTGTCGATCACTAAATATGATATGTGTAATGTTACTTTTACCATGTATACTTGAGGTCTGTCTAATCACACAGAGGCTACCCTGCTTCAAAATCAGCCCATCAATCATAAATCTTCTACCTCATCAAAGATCCAATTGTTGGGATTATACATTATTGTATTGTAAAGACTAGTAATTGATTTTTGCTTCATTTATTGAGAATCAAATCAAATACAAACATTACAAATCATCATAGCCTCAGGTGCAAGCCAAAGCAGCTCTGGCTTCATACACCAGAAAAAGAAAAGGAAAATGAAAGCCACACCAATGACAGAAAAGGAAAATGAAAGCCCCTCATTGCAGTATATATTCATTTTAAGGTTTTAGTTGCAGGCATCTGGGTTGGCCGCAAGGTAGTTCTCAATAAGCTTGAACAGACCAGTTGCCTTCTCTTTCCCAGCCTTGACATCCTCTTCCTTGATCTCAACATCACCTGTGGTATGGTAGTTGCTGGTGCTCTTTATGATGGAACCTCCATCAGCAGATGCCACCAACTTAATCTCATAAGTGATTTTCTCAATCTTGTCTGAAAGAGCATCTCCTTCAACCAAAGTGTAGTTGTACACAAAGTTATCTTTGTCAAGCCCGTCGATCCGGTGCTTCACATAGCTGTAATGACTTCCTGTAAAATGAAGATTTAATTAGAAATTAAGAGATTACTGCTTTCAAGATTTATGTTATTAATCAAGCAAACAAGTTAGACTTAGAAGAGGCAATGGAAGAAACAAACCTTCACCGAAGCTAATCTTCTTGATGGTTCCAACACCTCCATCTCCTTCAACAATTTCAGCAGTTTTCACTGATTGGGGAGCAATCTTGGGGATGAGGGTGTCAGCTTCAAGAACAAGGGCTTTGAACAATCTTGGTGGGGGGATGACTGAGGTGGACTCGTCTGAGTATGTGAAGACACCCATGGTGATGATTTTAGAGCTTAGAAATTGATCAAAGAAAGATTGAGATGTGGAGGAAGCTAGGAGAATGTTTGATATTGGTGTGAGGAAGTGTGAGCACCAGAGGTGGTATTTATCAGTTAGGGGAAGGGTATATGTGTAAAGTAGCTCCCATATTTATACAATTTTAAATTTTTTTTTAGCGGTGGTTGTACATGTGAAAAGGAAAAATATAATTCCCAATTCAATGTTTCAATATTTTAGTCAAAGAAATTAAGCCACCACTAAAAGTTTATTTGGAAAATTCAACTTATTTCAACTGGTGTGCTAACTTAATAATATTCTTATTGGCCAATAGGATGTTCCAAAATTAACAAGTCTATCTACATGCATAGTCGACTCCGAATGCCAAGTATTATATGGAATGCACATGTGGAATGTTCCTGTGATCAGAGTATTGCAATTTTTATTTTAACACAAGCAATATTTAGGGAGGGGGGAATCGAATGTAAGACCTCAAATGCAAGAGTAAATGTTCTTAATCGCTTCAGCTATACGTCCCTTACATAATATTGCAATTCATTATTGAAAAGCAACACCAATTATGTTCCGAAATACATATGCAAGGAATAAAGCCAGAGTTCTGAATGCTCACTGTCCGAACAAAAAGAGAAGGAAATAGATGCTCAGCATTATTTTTGACATAAAAGACAACATTCAAAGTTGGCGGGACTCATAATTTGGATAATTAACAGAGTGCGGAAAAAAGACGAAACAAAAATAGCAGGATCAGTACTGTTTTCGGTGCCATTTGATATTAAAGAATATCATCAACAACAAAAAACCTAATTTGCCTCACTTTGTTACAAGAATAAAACCCTATTTGTAATGTATTAACTAATCACATTAATGATTATGTTAATGTGGATAAACTAAGCATCTCCAATAGTCTCTTCAATCTAAACTCTTCAAATTGTGGCTTGTTGACCTACGTGGTAATTTGAAGGGTAAAGTTTGCTACTTTACTATTTTGTACCCCCATCAACCTCTTCAATTTAATTAATTCAGTATTTGACTTTTCTTTTTCTGTTTAATCAAACACTAATATTTAATTCGATTTAATAATACCAAATTAATATTTAAATAATAATTCATTATTGTTAACTCAGCCTCATGTAGGCTTTTAACATTTTAAGACAGCTTTTGTTGTTTCAAAGCTTAATAAATGCATTGAGGAGTGAAGGAGGAGTCCCAGATTTGGTGAGTGGGTTTGACAAGCCTATTGGAGAAAGTTTTTTAAATGTGGCTCACCTATTTTAGTGTCCCAAAGCCTTTGAAGAGGTTGTTGGAAATGCTTATCTTCAATAGTAGCAGCAAACTAAACTCTTCAAATTAAAATTTGTTGACCTATGTGGTAATTTGAAAAGGTTTATTTGCCACTTTATAATTTATGCAATATCAGACTCTTCAAATTCAATTAATACAATGTTATGGAATAGAATGAAAAATATGAAAACATGTGAAGAATGTCTATGTATTTATTATTTGAAAAGAAAAAAAATGCATGTTTTTATAATTTCAAGGTTGATTTTGTTTTTCCAAAGTAATGTGGCTCGCTTATTTTAGAATTCTAAAGTTGTTGAAAAGACTGTTGAAGATACTCTTACAAGATGTATCAAATGACCCCTCATTCTACAGTCTCTCTACTATTATATAGAGAATAAGTGGGCTCTCCACTTTGGGCTTCTATTTGGGCAAGGCGAAACGAGCTTCTATTTGAGGTTTCATTCTGGTCTTAAGCTTGGCACGATAGTGTTGCAAACCAGACAAAAGTATTATATCTTTTACAAATATAGAAATTATAAAACCCATATGTTTAATTATGTTTGTTTTTGCCAAAGTTGGGAAGGGGGAGGGGGAGGGGAGATTTCTCATACACACTATGAAGGTGCTATGAAGATTCGAATATGAGACCACTAGTCTGCAAATTAAGGCCTTTTTTCAATGGGCTAGACCTCATTAGCATGTATAATTATATTTTCATTCTATAAGAGATGTAATCAGCAAATATGACACGTGTAATTTGGCCCCATGTATACGTCTTGTAGACTTGAGTCCTCTCTAATCGGACAGAGGATGCCCTGCTTCAACATCAGCCATCTGTACCATCTTCTGCTTCAAATGTCCATTAATCATAAATCTTCTACCTCATCAAAGACCCCACAATGCAGGAATTATACATTATTGTATTGTGGTTTGGCTCCCTATCACTTTCACAAATCATGTCATCTAATTTAGACTTCCAATCGCTTCTCTTCTCAAGTCATCTCTTCTACCATATTTGCTGTTCTAATCAAATTGAAGTCAAGTCCACACACTTCATAAATATCCAGAGACCACGAGTTTTGTTATTCTTTGAAACTCACTATGCTGCCCATTTGTTATGAATCAAATCTTCTGACTTTGCAAAGCCATTTGTGGCCAACATTTAATTAAACAGAAATGGAATTTCTCTTATTTTGAGTGCTATAAATGTATTTTCTGTATTCTTTTATATTGTTCCCCAAAGGTATTTAACAAAGAACAAAATAAATATTCAAGCAGATATGCTCTTCTGCTTTTATTGTATATCCTTGTCTAACTGCAGACCAAATTTGTAAAGACCAGCAACTGATTTTTGCTTTATTTATTGAGAATCAAATCAAATACACACATTACAATTTATCATAGCCTTAGGTGCAAGCCAAAGCAGCTCTGGGTTGATACACCAGAAAAAGAAAAGGAAAAATGAAAGCCACACCAATATAATGACAGAGAAAGCACATCATGCAGTATATATTCATTTAAGGTTTTAGTTGCAGGCATCTGGGTTGGCCACAAGGTAGTTCTCAATAAGCTTGAACAGACCACTTGCCTTCTCTTTCCCAGCCTTAACATCCTCTTCCTTGATCTCAACATCACCTGTGGCGTGGTAGTTGCTGGTGCTCTTTATGATGGAACCTCCATCAGCAGATGCCACCAACTTAATCTCATAACTGATTTTCTCAACCTTGTCTGAAAGAGCACCTCCTTCAACCAAACTGTAGCTGTACTCAAAGTTATCTTTGTCAAGCCCGTCGATCCGGTGCTTCATATAGCTGTAATGACTTCCTGTAAAATGAAGATTTGATTAGAATTTAAGAGCTTACTGCCTTCAAGATTTATGTTAATCAAGCAAACAAGTTAGACTTAGAAGAGGCAGTGGAAGAAACCAACCTTCACTAAAGCTAATCTTCCTGATGGTTCCAACACCTCCATCTCCTTCAACAATTTCAGCACTTTTAATTGATTGGGGAGCAATCTTGGGGATGAGGGTGTCAACTTCAAGAACAAGGGCTTTGAACAATCTTGGTGGGGGGATGACTGAGGTGGACTCGTCTGAGTATGTGAAGACACCCATGGTGATGACTTTAGAGCTTAGAAAATGATCAAAGAAGATGAAAGTGTGAAAGGATTAGATGATTGGCAGGGATGGTATTTGATGCTGGAAAATGTGAGCACTGGAGGTGCTATTTATAGATGGAAGCATATGGTCATGGTGTTAGAAATTTCCCTTGTAGATTAAAGTTTTCAATGAATGTCCCTGTTGGAAAAGGAGGCTAGAATTTTCAATTTCAGTGACTTACTGTTCAAGTCTAAGAAGCCGCCTCAAATAGATAATTTTAAAAACCCAAATAGTCCAGCCAACCAGAGTTGCTAACCTCATCAGTTATATATGTACTTGGAGTACTTGATGCAGATATATTATACATAACAGAATTATTTAACTAATAAGGTCAATTTGTACATCTTATAGACTGATAAAGTCTTAGTTTGTGGGATGAATGAAGATGAACATCTGATCTGATAGGCTTAAACATATACTTTTCCACTCACTCAGGCAGCCAAAGTACAAGACTGATCAACTGCTAAGCATGCATTTAGTCTGGCATATATTCAATATGTCACGGAAGACATTTGCAACATCAGTAAATGTTCCTTAGTCTGGTTGTGAAGTAGATTTTTGCAGTGAATCTAGGCAAAAATTTACTGCAGCTCATATCCAAAGTACTCATAAAATTTAAAAAACAGTATCAATAAAATAAAATTAAAAAAACAAGCCAATGTTGACTAGAAAATAATTTTTTATTTATTTAAAAAAAGGCCGATGTTGACTGGCAGCCAGTTGCCATTGTGGAATCAAAGTCCTGAAACCAAAAACTAGAAAAAGGTGAAAACAAAAGCCAAATTAAACAAATAAATAATACCTAGCTGTACTGCCATCTATAAAAGGCAAAAAGCAGGAAAAAAATGATTTCTCATGGATTCGGAAACAACAGCTGATGAAGTTAACTTTCATGACCGACTATTTGTTTATTGAAAATTCAAATTATAATTGGAAGACCATCTAGAACCCGACCCCATATAGTACACAGTCTAGAACCAATTGGGTTGTAAATTAATTCGTCTCTGGGAGCTTTCCTTGACCGTTTTGGACATATCCAATACAATTTTATTAGCAACTTGCATAAACTGGTTAACAATGTACAAGGACAGCTATTCACACACCAGATGGGAACCTTCAACTCCGCTCATGCTCTTAGTTGTGATCGATAAATATCACTATCAGCATCCTCATTTTCTTCAACTCATAACCTCCTTGTAGTTCAACAATTCTCTTATTCCCTTAAAATCTTCCTTTGATCAGTTTTCCAAGTAAAAAACTCATCATCATGGGTGTTTTCACATATGAAACAGAGTTCACCTCTGTCATCCCACCAGCAAGGTTGTTCAAGGCTTTCATCCTCGACGCCGATACCCTCATCCCCAAGATTGCTCCATCTGCAGTCAAAGGTGCTGAAATCGTTGAAGGCGATGGAGGCGTTGGAACCATCAAGAAAATTACCTTTGGTGAAGGTTAGCTAGTTGACCCCTTATTCTCTGTATATGTTCACATTTTTTTGACACTTCGATGAACTCAAAGAATTTTACTAATTTATGTTTTAATCCATTTGCAGGCAGCCAATTCGGGTTTGTGAAGCACAGGGTCGATGGGATCGACAAGGACAACTTTTCGTACAGCTACACTTTGATTGAAGGAGATGCCTTGTCTGACGCAATCGAGAAGATCGCTTATGAGACCAAGTTGGTGGCATCTCCCAACGGAGGATCCATCATCAAGACCACTAGCCACTACCATGCTAAGGGAGATGTTGTGATCAAGGAGGAGCAAGTTAAGGCTGGCAAAGCAAAGGCTTCCAGTCTCTTCAAGCTTGTTGAAGACTACCTAACGGCTAACCCTGATGCCTACAACTAAAACCAAACTCGTTTATATTTGTAATTTGGGTTCTACCAGCTTCATTGTCAGTTAAAGGTGTGGGTTTGCCTTGGACTTGATACATGTTAAAAAGTAATGCACATTAGTACCTTGAACAATATATAAAAGTCTTGAATAATATAGAAAAGTCTAGAATATTGGTGACTAAAGTCGGTGAATAAAAAAAAAATCTGAGATCAAAGTGTGCTTTAAAATATTCAAAGTGCTAAACTCACCGACTAAGCTTATGCCGATTAGTTCTCTCCTATATATAGGCTTGTTGCCTATACAAAAATGTAAGCTGAAAACTACAGCTACCCAACTCAAGCAATCAGCCAACTCAAGTAATCAAGCCTTGTACCTTTCCTACTTCAAATAAAACTACTTTGTTATTTTTTCAAAAAAGTTTCATTCCAAGTTAAGCTATTGTCCTAAACACTAAACCAACAATTTCCTAAACCTCTTCTCCCATAAACTAACAGTGGTATCAAAGCTGCTAGTGCTACCAGTGCTCTTAGGGCTCGTTTGGTACACTGGACTGTCTTGGCATGGACTATGCTTAGGGACTATCTTGGCTTGGCTTGGCTTGGTCTAAGTTGGATAACACTTATCCTGCGTTTGGTGTATGCTTGGACTAGGACTAGATTTTTTATTTTTTATTTCAAAACTATCTATGTATATGTATATATGTATAAATACATATATTATGTATGTGTACATATGTATTTTATAATATATGTGACATGTATGTGTATATACATGTATATATGTATATTATAAATAATATAAACATATGTATATATATATATAAACATATATATATATATATATATATATACATGTATATACATGTATGTGTACATATATATATATATACATACATATGTTTATATTATTTATAATATACATATATACATGTATATACACATACATGTCACATAAAGGTCTCGTTGTAGTCTATGCTCGGCTGCTATGATAGGTCAATACAAAAACATAAGGCAAATCGCAGACATCATCACCTTCTTATGCTTTGATTTTTATCACAAATAAAATAATAATAAACTAATAACAAGTTTTGAATTTTAGCCCCTCACCATCACTAGAACCACAAAAAATTTGAGAGGCTAGATTTTGTGAATAGTACCATTTTGAGGGGCTAAAACAGTACCTTCCTTGTACCCAACACAGCCGCACACACCATTCTACACAAATTAAGGGAAAGTGCTAGACTTACCACATTTTTCATACCACATTCATACCACCTCTCTAATAGAGGTGGGGCCCATTATATTGGTGGGCTCCACCTCTATTAGAGAGGTGGTATGAATGTGGTATGAAAAATGTGGTAAGCCTAGCATTACCCCAAATTAAGACTAACCCAATCGTTAATATCTTACGTGAAAGCTAAAAACATAGCTAAATATCAGAAGCCATCACAAAATCAAGAATAGCTACACTTGTATTTTTAAAACTGAGCAACCCTCGTTTTGCAGCATGCTTATGAATTTCTATTTATTTTCAAAGCACAGCCAATCGAATTCCAAACCCGAAAAAAGTCATACAAGGTGAGAAACAGAGCAATAAACAAGAAGTCCACAGCGAGCACATCGGCGCCGTCGATCGCGAGACCAAGAACAGGGTACGAATCGAGCGCAGCTATACCTTTAAAATATTCGAATATATTTAAAGAGTGTAGCCGGTCGGCTATACTATTTAAATATACATATATATTCAGAAGCCATATGCAGTAGCTCTCTTACCTACCATAATATGTTGAGCTAGGCTGTGCCTCATACTCTAAATAAGATTACTTTTTTCGTCTCTTCTACTTTCGCTAGATAGTGAAAAGTTTTACCTTTCCTTTGCCAATTATGTTTTGCAGGTTCGATCACTTCGCACTACTACAAAAAACACTTTGCGCGATGAATGATTTTTTGTCGCGCAAAGGAAAATTTTGTCACGCAAACTTTGCGCGATGAAATTTTGGTCGCGCAAGTTCTGTCGCGCAAAACTCGTAAAGAAATGGTTTGCGCGATGGCGAAAATTCTTCGTCGCACAAAGCCACTTTGCGCGACGAAGGATAACAACTTGCGCGACGAATCATGACGACTTTGCGCGACGAAAATAACAACTTTGCGCGACGGACAATAACAACTTTGCACGACGAATATTAATTACTTTACGCGACGAATATTATCTATTTTGCGCGACGAATATTATCTACTTTGCGCGACGAAAGCTAATGTCGCGCAAATGTACTTTGCGCGACGAATGTTAACGTCGCTCAAAGGTTTGCGCGACGAAATATTCATTTTTTTTATTTTTTGAAAATTTTAAACTAAAATAAACTAATTTAATAGTTTGCGCGACGAAATATTTTGTCGCGCAAGGTTTTTGACA